ATGATGATAAACGCTAGGTCTGCGCTGTCCAGTTCGACAGCCGTTAGCCAGGCGTGGCCGTCTGAGTTGAGAAACGTTGTAAATATAAAATATACACTGGACTTCGAGGACTTAGTGCCAAAAAAAGGTAACATGTCACTAATAATTTTTATGATGATTACGTGTTGAAATGATAATACTTTGGATGCATTGGGTTGAACACAGTATTATTAAGATTAATATCTCCTAATTTTTAATGTGGCCACTGAAATTTTGAAAATCACATATGTGGCTAGCATTATATTTCTACTGGACAGCGATGCACTGGACCACTGTGTCTTCAGATTCTGCCTTCGTTGCTTTTTTTTTCCGTTATCTGATTTTATCCTCGCAACAGCTATACTAAGTAAATGTTATTGTCCTTGTTTTATAGATGAGAAATAAAACATTAAATTGTCCAGGTTCATGCAGCCATTGAGTAGTGGAGGAGAAAAGAACTCAGGCAGTCTGACTCCCAGAGTTCCCTCTGTCTCAATGGTGTGTGTGTGGTATGTTTCTGAGAGGCTACACAAAGTGATTAGATGTACCCAGCTAGATTCTTTGGTTCCCATCTTAGTTAGCCACTTTCTCGCACTTAACCCTGGGCAAGCTACTTAACATTTCTCTGCTTCAGTTTGCACATGTGTAAAATGAGGGAAATACCTCTACCTCATGGGATTGTTCAGAGGATTAAATAAGATAATGTGTGCAAAGCACCAAGCACAACGCCTAATACATAGTAGCTTCAGTTGTTATTCAGACCATTGCCTTCAAGTCCAACTCATGGTGACCTCATGTGTGTCAGAGTAAAACTGTACTCCATATGTTTTTTTTCTTAATTTTTTTTTGAAATCTTCTATTAAGCTCTTTTACTTCATCATTTCTTCCTTTCACTTTAGCCACTCTAGGTTCAAGAGCAACTTTCAGTGTCTCTTCTGACATCCATTTTGGTCTTTTCTTTCTTTCCTATCTTTTTAATAACCTCTTGCTTTCTTCACGTATGATGTAATATTAGTTATTATTAACATTGCAACAATTAGTTGACTGGGCCCATCCTTACAGGTTTTAAAAGGTCTTGTATTTCAGAGCAGTAACTGCAAGCCCTAGATAACATAGGATACCTTTTCTTCTCTTCTTAAACCCTGTATCTCCTCCCTCATCCTCATTCTCAGTTGAAGACCTTGCTTCCTAATTCACTGATAAATTGAAGCAATCAGCAGGGAACTTATAAAGGCTCCCACCACTACATCTACCTGCTTTCAGTGTCTGTACCTACATATATGCTTTGCTATCCCTTACTTTAGAGGAAATACCCATGTTTCTGTGTAAAGCCGTTCCTGTACATTAGACCCCCTCACCTTTGTTCGAGGAAATCATTCCAGCAGTTCTCCGATCTCTTGTGTATCACCAGCTTTTCTTCTCTCCTGGATCTATCCTATGGCATTCAATCATACTGTTATTTTTTTTCTGTCTTAAAAAGCAAGAAAACTTGACCCCACTTCCCCTTCAGCTACTGCCCCATTTATCTGTTCTTCTTTGCAACAGAACTGTACTTGCTGTCTCCTGTTCCTCTCCTACCATTCTCAAACTCATTCCAGTCAGTCTTTCATCCTCCCCGCAACCCTCCACCTCCCCACCGAAACTGTTCTTGATATTACCAGTGACTTTGGTGAGTTCAAATTCAACGGTCAGTTCTCAGCTTATTTGACTTAGCAGTGTTTGGCAGTATTGGTCACTCCCATCTCCTTAATATACCTTTGTTTATTGGCTTCCAGGACAACACATACTCTTGGTTTTCCTTTTCTTCTTCACCTCTTAACAGGGCTCAATCCTTAGTCTTTTCTTTGATTATGCACATTCCCTTGGTGATATGAAGTCTCAGGGATTTATGCTGGTAACTTCCAATTTTATGTCTCCATCCAGCCAAGACCTCTCCCTACTCATGTATCCAACTGTTTGCTTGACATCTTTCGTGTCAAAAAGTGAACTCCTGATTTTCTTTCCAAAACATTCTTTACTCACAGTTTTCTCTGCCTCTGCTGATGGCTACTCTGTTCCACTAGTTGCTTGGACCAGAAGCTGTGGAGGCATTTTCCACTCCTGTTTTTTCACAAATTCCACATGTAGTTCGTCAGAAAATCATATTGGCTTTGCCTTCAAAATATGAATAAAATCTGGTTATTTCTCACACCTCTTATGCTACTACCCTGCTCTGAGCTGTCATCTTGCCTGATCTCCCTGCTTCCAACCTTGCTCTCTTCTAAACTATTCAACACAACAGCTAAAATGATTGTTTTAAAATGCACCAGATCCTATACTCCATACTTTGCAGTGACTCCCTCATTTCACCCAGAGTAGAAGTCAAAGTCCTCACAATGGCCTGATCTGCCTGCTCTCCCCTATTACCTGCTCTAACCTAAACTCCATCTTGTTCACTCCGTGAGCCTCCTTCCACTGTAGGACTTTCCCTTTGCCTGGAACGTTCTTCTCCTAAATAGCTGCATGGCTAATTTCCCCATCCTCTGCAAGCCTTTGCTCAGAAGTCACCTGTGGGCACCCCAGCCCAACGACCCTTATTTTAAATTTCTCTAGTTCCAAGCTCATTTATCCTGCTGTTTTGTTTGTCTTCCGCCACTGGAATGTAAGCTCCATTAAGGATGAGCTTTTTTGTCCTCTAATGTATCTCAAGTGCTCAGAACTGAGCCTACCACATAAGGCATTCAAGAAATATTTGTTGAATGCATGTCTACATTGATTGGAGATATGGAGGAACACTTAAGTAAGGCAAAACTAAATTTAAGTCTGGCATAAGAGGCTGGAACCAAATAGGAAAGGATGGTGAGCGGAGTTAAAGTGGAATGTTTGTATGTATAATGTTTGTCCTTATTTGAAAATCTAGAATGAGAACAATGTCTTTAATTACTCTGAACATAGTTCCTATTTTGTATGCTGTCATGAATAATTGGGAAATACTAGTGAGTCTGTTTTCAATAAAGAAAATTTAATGTGTTCAGGAAGTTAATACTTGTGAAAAATCGGAGACATGCTATTCTGTGCTTTACTTCATCAACTTTATCAAAGCTGCCTTTTTACATTTTAAGTAGCAATCATCCTATCATAAGATTTCTTGGTTTCCTTTGTTCTCTTTATTGTGATTATATGTATAGTAATATAATTATGAGATCCTTCCTACCTGAGCATTTAAGGAAGCTTAGCACACAATAACTGAACAGTCTCTTCTTGCTGAATTTTTTTAGAAACAAAATTAATGTATTCATTTTTTTTCTCTGTTTGAGATGGTCTCAAATCAAGTAACAAAATAGAATAGAGATGCATATTTGACCACTTGCAAGTCAGGTAGAAAATCATAACACTGTGTTTTTATATAATATTTGAGCATATTTTGTTTATTATTATTATCATTGTATGGAGTTTTTTGTTTGAGCTTAAGCAGTTTTATTTGCTTTGTTTACAGTAGGCTAAAAACAGGAAAAGAACATGGAGGCAGATATAATTGCAGATCTTCGATCCAAGCTCAAAGAGGTTGAAGAAGAGCGACTAAAAGCTGCGCAGTATGGTTTACAACTAGTGGAGAGCCAAAATGAACTGCAGAATCAATTGGATAAGTGTCGTAATGAAATGATGACCATGACTGAGGTAGGACTCGCACTCCTCTGTTTAAAAGGTTGTGCTTAGCTATGAAGATTTGTCTTGTCTAGCAATTATTAATACTGTTGTATTCTGTTCCAAAGATTTTAATCTAGTTCCCACCCCGTCCCCAGCCGTAATAGAGGGGAATGAACTAAATGAATTCCTAGTATTCTTTTCAACCCAATGTCTTCTGACTTAGAAAAATCAGGTTATAATTACCCTCTTTACTGCATAATAGATCTTAGATGTTGTTGTCTGTCTGTATTCTTCCTAAGTGGCCTCATCTTGTTTTGTAGCTGTAAATAACATCTAAATGACCTATGACACTGAGATCTACACCAAGCCCTTATTTCTCCCCTGAAGTCCAGACTTGTGTATTCAACTGCCACTAATGGCCAACTGAAACTTAACATAAACAGACAAATACTTGATTCCCTGTCCGCTAACCAATCTCCTGCAGTTTTCTTTACATTATTTAGTAAATGTAATAGCATTTATTAGGTTGCTTGAGTTAAAACTGTAGGAGTTTTACTCGATATCTTCCTTTCCCTTGTTTCTTATGCTTAATCCACCAAGAAGTTCTAAGAACTTGACCTACAAAACGTCTGTCTACCCTACTGCCACTCTAGTCCAAATCACCATCATCTGTCTCATAGACTACTGCTATAGGCCTCCTAACCAGGTTGCCTTCTTCTATTGTTTCCACTCATACAATTCATCCTTTACACAGCAGCCAGTGCAGTCATTGAAAAACACACAAGACATCATGTCACAGCCCTGCTAAAAACCATGTAACAGCTTCTGATTATATTTATGATGAAATCTGGACTCCTTACTGTGGTTTGAAGATCCCTATGTGATCTGACTCTGCCAACCTTCTTGACCTCGTCTCAAACCACTTTCCCTTGTTCTTAGCTATGCTAGTCCCACTTTATGGGCTTTATACTACCTGTTGCCTCCTCCTGAAATGTTCATCCTCCACTCTTCATGTATTGAGTCCTCAGCATGTAGATTTCAGTTAAGTGTCACCTTCCTTGACAACATAAAGTTAACACTGTTCACTCTCTTTTAATTCTCTGCAGTGTTAATTATCTCCAAATTATAAGCTCCATAAGAGGGAATATTATCAATCTACTGTATCCCTAGTGCGTGGCACACATATTAAATATTGATTGAAAGAGTGAACGAATCAGTTTTATTTAGTAAACAGTCTTAACTTATATTTAAACTTGGATCCCAAAATTGTAAAGATAGCATGTAAAAATAATTAATGGCAACCCTTATTTTTCTGTATATTACTATTCTTGACTAAGAACTCAATACCAAGGTCTAAACGCAAAGTAAAGTTTAGAAATCTCTCTAGCAGTAGAAAATAAAATTGTGCTGTACTCAGTTGTTTTGGTAAATAACTCATTAAATTTAACTGCTAGTTTAACAATTAAGATTCTACTTGCATTCTTTTAAAATAGAAGGGCTTCCTCTGCACTAACAAGTAGAACTCCAAAAAGGAAATCAAGAAAATAATACCATTTACAATAGCCTACAAAAGTATGAAATACCTAGGAATAAACCTAACCAGGGACATAAAAGACGAATGCAAGGAAAACTATAAAACACTACTGTAAGAAACCAAAAGTGATCTGTATAAATTGGAAAACATTCTGTGCTCATGGATTGTAAGACTTAACGTTGGAAAATGTCAATACCATCCAAAGCTATCTATAGATATAATGTAATCCCAATCCAAATCCCAACAACATTCTTTAATGAAATGAAAAAACTAATCTCCAACTTTATATGGAAAGAGATCCCAAATAGCTAAAACAATATTGAAGAAGAAGAACAAAGTAGAAGGCCTTACACTTCCCGATCTCAAAACTTACTATACAGCCACAGCAATCAAAACAACCTGGTACTGGTTCAATGCCAGACATGTAGACCAATGGAGTAGAATTGAGAACCCAGAAGTAAATCAACGAATGGTCGAAACCCATTCAGTGGGAAAGATGGAGTGTCTTTAACAAATGGTGCTGGCAAAACTGGATGTCCATTTGCAGAAAAATGGAACAGGATCCATACCTCACACCATACAAAAAAACTAACTCAAAATGCATCAAAGACCTAAATGTTAAAGCTAAAACTATAAAGTTCCTGGAGGATAACATAAGGACAAAACTAGAGGGCCTAATTTTTGGCATAAATAGTGTATCAAACACAACTAAAAATGCACGAACAACAGAAGATAAATTAGATAACTGGGACTTCCTAAAAATTAAATACGTATGCTTATCAAAAGACTTTACCAAGAGTAAAAAGAGAACCTACAGACTGGGAAAAAATCTTCAGCAACAGCATATCTGATAGGGGTCTAATCTCTAAAATATGTAGTAAACTTCAACTCAACAACAAAAAGACAGTCCAATCAGATGGGCAAAGGACATGAATAGCAATTTCACCAAAGGACATTCAGGCAGCTAACAAACACGTGAAAAGATGTTCACGATCGTTAGCCATTAGAGAGATGCAAATCAAAACTACAATGAGATACCATCTTACCCCTGCAGAAATGGCACTGATAAAAAAACAAAACAACAAATGCTGGTGAGGCTGTGGAGAGATTGGAACTCTCATACACTGCTAGTGGGAGTATAAAATGGTACAGCCACTATGGAAAATGGTATGGCGCTTCCTCAAAAAGCTAGAAATGGAAATACCTTATGATCTAGCAATCCCGCTCCTAGGTATATATTGTAGAGACACAAGAGCGGTGACATGAATAGACAAAGCACACCTATGTTTATTGCAGCATTATTCATAATAGCAAAAAGATGGAAACAACCTAAGTGCCCATCAACAGATAAATGGATAAACAAATTGTAGTACATGCATACAATGGAATACTATGAAACTATAAATAATCAGGAGCCCACCAAACATCTTTTAACATGGATAAATCTGGAGGACATTATGCTAAGTGAAATAAGCCAGTCACAGAAGGACAAATATTGGATGGTCCCACTTTTATAAAAAGTCAAGAATAGATAAACACACAGAAAGCAATGTTCTTTGATGGTTACTAGGGATGGAAGGGGGAGGGGAAGAGAATCACTTTCTAGATAGTAGACACTTGATATTTTCGGTGATGGATAAGGCAATACCCAATATGGGTGAAGTCTGTACAACCTGACCAAGGCAAATGAAGACTCTAAGAAGTATGCAAGAGTAAGGGACAATTGCGATAAATGCTGTAACATACACAATTTGGCAACAACAGTAACAACAACCAAAAAATATGAGCCTGGTTACGTAGGTATGTATGTATGCATGTGTGTATATAGGAAGGCATATGTGAGTACATGCGTGTGCATTTATAGGTGTATCTCTAGGCATGTGTACTTACGGGTTTGAGTATGCCTTGTATATATTCATATATATAATAAAGCACATGGGGGCACAGTTATGGAAACTTCCTAAATATATCCAAACACCTCACAGGATTGGTCTACTGGGTTAAAAGGCTTAGGACTATAGTCTCATGGGACAACTCAGTTAATTGGCATACTATAGCTCATAAAGATAATGTTCTACATCCTAGTTTGGTGAGTACCATCTGGGGTCTTAAAAGCTTGTGAGTGGCCGCCTAAGACTATTGGTCTTTACTCGTATGGAGCAAAAGAGAATTAAGGAAACCAGACTCAAAGAAGAAACTAGTCCATAGGACTAATAGCCCACATGAACTACAACCTTTTCTAGCCTGAGACCAGGAGAACTAGATGGTGCCCAGCTACCGCTATCAACCGTTTTGACCCAGGGACACAATAGAAGGTCCCAGGTAGAATGGCAGAAAAATGTAGAACAAAATTCAGATTCCTAAAAAAGGCCACACTTACTGAACTGATGCAGACTAGAGGAAACTCTGAGAACTATCACCCTAAGATACTATTTGAAGTTGGAACTCGGAGGTCACCTTTCAGCCAAATAATAGATTGGCTTACAAAATAAACAATATCACCCTTGAGTAATGTACTCTCTTAAACAATCAACTACATGAGACCAAACAGTAAACATTTACCCAGAAGCAAAGGTGAGAAGGCAGGGAGGGGCAGGGAAGCTAGATCAGTGGAAACAGAACAAACAGAATGGAAATATTTTAACATTTTTTTAAAGCTTGTTGATAGACTTTGAATTGATACCGTTCTTATCTCTAAGCTTCTCTGTCAGTAAGTAAAAGCCCTCTTAAATACTCCTTTTGTCTCAGTACTGTGTTCATTCCAGAAGTCATTCTGTGAACATTTTTCAGATGCCTACGTTCTAAAAGTAAGGTTTAATTCAGTATTTCTCCTTTTCACCCATTCCTCTATTTCTTCATTTTGTTCATAGTTATAAGGAGAGCATCTCACTATCAAACCAAGTAACTCTTACTAGGAAAACTTAGGTGCTATTAAATCTTTTTTTTTTTTCCTGGTAGAGATGAATTGACACATTGACACGTCACTGGGCACTTTTTACTTCCTTGATAGGGCATAGAAGCAATGATCGTATCCTTAGCATGGACTTTAATGTAGTTTCAAAATACTCCTCGGTTTTACGACTGATTAGCTATAAAGTCATTTAATATTTAATGTATGGTTGTTCCTTGCATATGTGAAACTAGGAATGAAACAGTTAAAGGTGAGAACTGCTTGTGCGTGAGAACCGCTGGTATGTGATGACTTTAAGCTATACTTTGTAGTTGAATTGTACTGAATCTGCTTTCAGAATTATGAACAAGAAAAATACACTCTTCAGAGAGAAGTTGAGCTCAAGAGTCGAATGTTAGAAAGTTTGACTTCTGAATGTGAAGCTGTTAAACAACAACAAAAAATGCATTTGGAGAAACTAGAAGAACAACTGAGCAGACGCCATGGACAGGAAGTGAATGAGCTAAAAGATAAGGTTTGGATGTCTGTATTTCAGAGCAAAAATGTTCCATGTTTATGCAGCCATGTGTAAATTTTAAGTGGTGAAGAATTTCTTGGCTATCACCTATGCAAAATAGCTAAGGTCAAATGCCACATTATCTTAAAGTTGGGAGTGAGAACACTGAAAACAGGAATTTACCTAAGGGACTTGTATAAATAATAGTCAACCAATTAAATTAAATGTAATTATCAAATTTTGGTAACTGGATATTTGTGATGGAGGGTTAGTTTCATAGTCATGGGTAGTGAACAGCACCACCTACTTGCTTATAGTACATAGTAAAGCATTCCCCTTGGAGAAACACTAGTCCCCTACCCTGTACTGCAACTAGTGGCATGCTTTGCAAGTCTCCAAAAGAAACCAGTAGTTTCTTGTCAATTAATGATGTACATTAGAATTGGACTTTATAATTTGTTTATTGAAGTTAAACTAATGCATATGATCCAGTTCTCACAACAACTGTGTAAGGGAGGTGTCCTTATTATCTCCAGGTAACAGATGAGAAAAACAGTGTTCAGACAGATTGAGCAAATTAGCCAAAATTACAGAGCTAGAAATTGCTAGCCAAGATTTGAACTGAGGCAGTGTGACTACAAAGCCTGTGTTACTGAACCACTGTACTTAATCTAAAGATATATTATATGGCTCCATTTCAAGCATAAATACAAAGTATACAATGAGTGTGCAGTGATTATCCATTCTCTTTCGGCACCCTCAACTACCCAGTGCCTTCAGGTCACTTCTGAGGAATTCAGACCTTTTATCATGGCTTCTCTTTGTCCAGAGGCAATGCTCTGACCTTTCCAGACTCCTCTCTAGTGAAACTTGCCTGACTCTTGTCTTGTTTTCTCAGAAGTCTATTTTCTAATTTTCAGTTTTTTATGTAAATTTTCAGTTTTTTCTAAGACGTCCCCATATCTGTAAACCACCCATATTATTAATTTCTCCTTAAACTCACTCACTTTTTAAATATTTTCTCGTTGTAAGTAGTGAAATTACATATTTGAGCTAGTTATATTTTTTTTCTAATATCCAGTAAAATAAACTTAGCTTTGAAAATACGGTTCTGTGTAACACTTAGAATCATCTTACATACCACTGTGGCAGATAGTAATCTAGCTTGTCTGTGACTAATCTCAGTCATGACACTAATGACTGATAATGATGCATTATGTTTTTTTTCCTGGATGATATTTTCATTTTATTTGTAACTTTCATTACCTAAGCAAAAAAGGAGTGATACTGGAAATATTCAGGGACTGTGGCAAGGCCATTTATAGAAATGGCTTTTTTTTTTTTTTATAAAGAATCAATCAGTCAAAAAATATTTTCAGTCTTGTCAAAGTTCTCAAATCACTTCATGTATTGGTTGCCTACTCTGATTACTTGTGTGGATTATTTGTATGTTTATAAAACAAGGTATGTCACTGTCTATTAAGAGATGCCTGTTGTTAGTTGCTGTCAAGTTGATTCCAACTTATGGTGACTACATGTGTATCAGAGTAGAACTGTGCTCCATAGGGTTTTCAAGGCTGTGAGTTTTTGGAAGCAGATCACCAGGCCTGTCTTCCAAGGCACTTCTGCATGGGTTTGAACCGCCAACCTTTCAGTTAGTAGTCTAGCGTTTAACTGTTTGCACCACCCAGGGACTCCAGAAGATACCTAGACTTGGCCAAATAGAAAACCCCAGTAGTCTCATCATACAATATGTTTCGATCAATCAGTGATTTTTTTCAGAAAGATGGCTGTATTTCTATAGTCATGCAGCTGAAGTTTTTATTTAACATCGTGAAAATAGAAAAGGGAAAAGAAATGCGCTACCAGCCTTTTATTTTTTAAATAGGAAACAAATACTAGGGTGCGTTCTAAGAGATGTTGAGACCCTATTGAATATAATTAAGTATTAATAATAATAATGACCATAGACATTAAGACAGTTTTTTATTGATAACAGTTACATTTAGTGAATGCTAAGCACTGTGCTGAATATTTTATTCTTCTGATCTCAGTTGAGCCTCACAATTACCCAATGATGGTAGGTGCCATCATTTACTTATCTGTTTAACATGTAAGGAATGAAGCTTAGATAGGTTAAGTAACTTCCCTAAGGAAGGATTCAAACCTAGGTCGGATCCTAAAGCTTCACTCTTCTGCTTTACTTTTGTTCCCGTTAAGCTACATATTCTCAGTTTCCCAAGATTTAGAAACTGTAACGTTTTAGAAAGGGTAGTAAGATAGATTTGTTCAGCTTGGCTCTTTTCCAAAGCAGTTAACCTGCAGATATCAGAACATTTTGTACCGCAATTGTATATTTTGATAATTCAGTTACCTTTTGATTCATAAATTTTTTTTTTTTAACTTCAGTTGGAAAAAATGAAAGCTGAACTAGATGAAGCTAGGCTCAACGAAAAGCAGCTGAAGCACAAGGTAGAGCTTCAGAAGGAACTCCTCTCTTGTAAATCAGAGGAAATGCGGATAATGTCTGAACGTGTACATGAAAGCATGTCTTCAGAGATGTTAGGTCTTCAAATTGAGTTGACTGAAATGGAAAATATGAAGGTAATTTTTATGGATAGGCTTGCTGTTTTTTTTTTCTTTTTTCTTGTTTGCATACTCTACATGTTTTTTATAATAATCCTTATGAGCTAGTTTTAAGGCTAAAACATTTTTTGGCCTAACTTCAATCTGAGAAATTAAAAATGTTTTACAAAGTTCTTAGATGGATTACATTGTGCATAGTATACTTTTAGATTACATGGTTATGTAAGGCAGAGTTTACCTTTAGAGTAATGAAATCTCTGGAAGAAATTAAGAGGTATTTATTCTGATCCTGTGTCATAAAAACTCAATATAAAATGTTGATACAGTGGAAATTGAAATACACATGAAAGTGGTTTTTGTCATTGCATGCTGAGATTAATTAAAAATTAAAGCCTTAAGTTCATAGAGGAAAAAAGTGGTCTCTAGAGCCTTTTATTTGGTTCCCTGCTGAAAATTTCAGTAATTTTTATTATTTCATTATGCACCTCCCAACATTTTGACTAGTTCTTTACTTCTAGTTTTGGTTGTAACCACCACTGATGAATAAACTGAGCAGCTGTTAAATGAAAGATTATTCAAGAGGGTGTCTTCTTTTTCAATTCCTGTTCAATAGACTGCTCTCAAAGAACAAGTGAATGAACTACAGTACAGACAAGAACAACTAGAACTTCTTAGTAATAACTTACTGCGCCAGGTAGACCGACTTAAAGAAGAAAAACAGGAGCGAGAGAAAGAAGCACTGTCTTACTGCAATGCCTTAGAGGTATTATGGTTATAGTAACATCGCCTTTTTTCTAATAAACTGTTTTCTTGCTAATCTAATCTCTATTAGCTAAATTCTTTTCTTTTGAATTTAGAAAGCTCGTGCAGCAAATCAAGATCTTCAAGTGCAATTGGACCAGGCACTCCAGCAAGCCCTAGACCCCAGTAGTAAAGGCAACTCTTTGTTTGCAGAGGTACTTAAAAATATTTAGTGAGTAAATTGGCATTTCACTTACAAAAAGAACAATTAAACATTTTAATATTTTGTAGGTGGAAGATCGAAGGGCAGCAATGGAACGCCAGCTTATCAGTATGAAAGTGAAGTATCAGTCCCTAAAGAAACAAAATGCATTTAATAGAGAACAGATGCAAAGAATGAAGGTATAGAATTATTGCCATCAAAGGTTTATTAACCCGTATTTTGTATTGCATGTATAAATATATCAAAAGAAACCATCCTTTCCTCCAAGGAGTGTACTTATATAATTATTTCTAGAGTCACACATAATGTGTGTGTATATATATATACTTTTTTTTTTAATTGAGCAAAAGATCTATTTGTATTGTTTGTTTGTTTAACAGTCAGTACATACTGTTTTATGACATTAGCTAATGACCCCACAAAATGTCAGCGCTCTCCCTTCTCAACCTTGGAGTACTTGTTTTTGTTTTTGTTTTGGTGAAAATATACATAGCCAAAGTTACACCATTTCCAAAGTTTTCACATGTACAATTCAGTGACATCCATTACATTCTTCCAGTTGTGCTACTATTCTTACTATCCTTTTCCAAATTATTCCATCA